GTGTGTACGCAAGGCGACCAGCCATTTGCGTGCCGCTCATGTCACTTCATAAAAGGGAACGTTTGAGTTGGGCTTTTCAACAGGTCCTTTGGGCATCTGAAAAAATGGAGGTCTATTTTTTACGCATGAGCCCGCGTCTAGCCTCCAAAGCGATAGTACGTGTTATTTGATTTGGAGAGAACCTTGAACCCGTTATCATCCATCAAACATCCCTAAAAAGAGACGCTTGGAGGAGGCAGTGTCTGTGTTTGACGTGGTATCTCTTTGGGTTGGACGCACAGACTTCCATGCCTTTCCACGTTGAACCATGAATGTTCAGGCTATGGGGATGATATCTTTGATATATACATGCGTTCTTATACCGGTTTAATAATTTATAAATTCCTACTACAGGATGATAACGCTGGACCTCACAAAGTTAACTTCGTGGATGCTTATCTTCAGCAACAAACTATTCAGAACACGGTATGGCCAGCTCGATTACAGGACTCAAATTCTATCGATCATGTTTGAGATGCTTTAGGAAGGAAAACGTAGAGTTGTTTTTAATTCTCCTCTCCAGACCCTTGCCATATTTTCAACTGCTTTGCAAAAGCAATGATTCTTACTTTTTACGGAACTGATAGATTGAATTGACAGCATCCCACATCACTGTATGTGTTGTGTGTTGCTTCTGAGGGAGATCATACTCCATATCGAAAGTAATTTTCCTATACCAAACTCACACATCCGATTATTTCATTTTATACATTTACTAATTTCTGTAATCCCGTAATCGTCTGGTAATTTCATTTTATGTTACTTTACACCTTGCTAAGTGTTATATAATGTGAGTCTGTTTTATTAAGTTCTAAATAAAAAGTTTTGAATAATCGTAATTTTTTGTTTTTTATTAATTTATCATAACAAATATATATTCAGATATGACTTCAGGGATTTCTGAGCAGTGGTTCTTTATTTTGATATTCTTTTTAATATGGAACTTTATAAACAACCTGTTTTCTCCTAAAGTCTGTAAGCTTTGAAAATGCATTTCCATACGCTTGAATAGAGAGAATGTAACTTTTACCACATCGCATAAAATTAAGTTTTTTGTTTAGAAAACATTTTTAATTTATTCAGAAGTTTTGCACCTTTTTCTTTCAATCAAATTTGTAAAGTTTATCTTTCTTGAGTAAAACGGAAATTTAAACTCCATGTGGACGTTAAGCAAACTATCGCTAAGTCTAAAGACCAGGCTGTGAATGACCCTATTTTTAAAACTAAATAATTTTAACAGAAGGCATTCCTGGGGCTTAAAACCTTACCAGCATTTATGGCGTGAAACTTAAAAGCAGTTATGGCGTTACCAGCATTTATGGCATGAAAGTTAAATGTAAAGCTAAATTTAAATAAACTACTAGTAAAGGCCTACATACAGCAAATTAACGGGAACTTGGACCGGCTTCACCAGCGTGGATTTCAGCTATCGGCAGATATGATGCAAGGCAACACAGGAACTCTTATCTAAACCTAGTAACGTGGCGTCAAGAGTCAGAACTTATACTGACTTAACAATCTCAAAACTTCACTTAAATAAACGCGAACTAATTTGCATACTGGCTGGAAAACAGTAAGAGAGATATGAGAGTATAGATTCAAAACATAAAACTACTTGTCATTTAAATTGACGGAAAGTTTATGATTACAAAATGGCTTTTCATTCAAAAGAACACAGTACGTCTTCGTAAGTGTCAAACGCAACAGATATCACTACTGGTCATATATGGAAAACTAACTGATATATATTCAGAACAGAAGTAACAGTTCTGTGGGAATCATATGATTGAGCAAGGTGTTTGTTTCATGCTGCTAGTGGTTCTGTTGCTGTTTTCGTGTCCATATTACATGGATGAACTGTTGCCAGAGCCTTCTCCAAAGAGAGGTTGGACTTCTATTTTCCATCTCAATTTTGAGGGAGAGCACCCTGGGAGAGTTTTCCGTGGTCTCTCATACGAGAGAACTTTCGGCTCGTCGCACATTTAGAGTGTCCCCATGCCGCACGAACACTGCTATGTATCTGGCTGCGGTCAGCCAATCAGCTGCCTACCTCGCGGTAAGAACCCAGCAAATGAGACAGACGAGAGTTGTCTGCAGAAAGTGTGGTAGGGCGTTTACGCCTGAGTTCGAGTTTCGATTTTAGCCAACGTGGCTGATTAACTTGTAAGGTATTAAACAAATGTGTTTCATTGGAATTATTTTCTCATATCATATAATATCAACGTCATGTAAATATTTGTACATAAAAGTCGTGCTTCTACATAATAAAGGATTAATTTTGCAATAATGTATTGTGCCACGTCTCTGCCATCCCGACAAGCAAAGCATCCCGACAAATGTAGTATATTTTGCGAATCAGTTTACTTTTTAAAACAGCACGCTCCGTTTCGAGAACTAAAGTTGTCATGCTTTACATTTACAAGCATCCATGTCTTCTCCTGGATTGGAACCCGGGCCCTTCGATACCGGAGTAGAGTTCATTTACCACTATACCGTCTGGGCGATGCTAGTGGTCCTGCATTATTTATATAAAATCCGGACTTCAGTATACCACAGAATAAAAAAAATTAGGATTTCTGTATACCATTTGTGTTGAATTCGATGATATCTTTAATTTACGTATATTATAATTTTAAACGTATTAAGGCTGGATGGATAACTCCTGCAAAGAAACTTCGAGTAAATTTCCCCCACTGTGGTCTGATGGAGCCACATCTGTTTTGGCGAAACTTCCGTTCTTAACATACACGCTCTTTGTCCTAGCTACGCCTCTGTCCGTTAAGTCCCAGCCATCAGTTTAATTGTTCATGTCAGAGCTGTGCTAGAACGGCATGTCCAATTGCTGCGATGCAAACACATAACGTGACTGACTTCTTAACAATAGTTATGCAGTTAACGTGTTCATAACAGAAACCATGGAATACCGTGAGCTACCTGGCGGAGTCCTTGATCAATCTTGAGTAATAATCATATCTACAGCAATAATTACTGACTTCACATTAGGAGGGTGACCAAAACATTTTGGAGCCTAGATATGTAAGCAGAATGCTGTAAGATAATGTGTACAATATGCAATAAATTGGCAAATGTAGTATATTTTGCGAATCAGTTTACTTTTTAAACAATGTTATGTAAAGAAGAAAGATGTAATCATTTTATTTACTAGATATGTATTAAATTTGATCCTGATACATTTCATCTAGATGATGATTCTCTCTAAATACACAGTTATCAGGTTATCATTTTCTGTTCAAATGAATTCATAAGCAATATATTATATCAAAATAAATGCATAAAGAAAACGTTTACCATCTTAGAAGAGAACACTTTCCCTGCTTTCCCTCTCAATATTAAATATGCTATTTTAAATCGGTTATCAGGCGTGTGCTTTATTTTATTTGAATGCCATAAACTATGAAATATTCTAATTTAATTCTAATATTCTATCAAATTCACGTTTTTATACAAAAAGAGTTTGATATTCGATTATATTGTAAATGGTAGTTATCAAAATGGAAAAAAATCTCTTTTCATGCTCTGCCTCGCTATATTAATGTAATAAAACAATTCTGTCCCTTTTGTTCGGCAGGCATTTTAAACATAAAGGAAATTGGAATTTCTGTTTTTCGCAAAGAGTGTCATGGCTGAGGTGAAATTTCATGAGAATGGGTATTGACTCTACTCAAATAATAATAATAATAAATAAATAAAAAAAAAACTTCTTGTAAGATAATACTTTTGATTTTCCTTAAAATAAAATTTTTTAAGTTTTCAGGACGTTAAATATTATTATATAAACAAACCAATTATTAAAACAACGCACTAAATATAACCTTTTGAAAATAATAATGTCTAAAATTGCAGATCTATTGCTCCTCTAAATCTCGCTTAATATTATTGTATTAAGCGAGATGTCTAAAATTGCAGATCTATTGCTCCTCTAAATCTCGCTTAATATTATTGTATTTAGATAGGCAATTTTAATAGAATTATAACTAAAAATTGCTGTATTTTTCTGTGTAATGTAGCTCGAGACAAATTTTAAGCTATGTCGGAAAATTAAGCATACAGGGGTACGTACATTTTAACATTGAGTAAATGGATATCTCAGTAATTTGTATTAAAATTGAATAAATGTAAATAACCACTATATTAGCTGTAACTGTTATTCTCCCTTTGTATTGCATTCCAGTAATATAGAGAAAAATAAAGTATTAGAAATATCTCGCGACCGGTTGAAAACTATAAATCGCCGGAGAGAGAGCGTCTGAGCTCGGTTGTTTAGTTAGCTGCTTTTGTCATTTTGCGAGTTCAGTGTGAGATCGGATTGGCTTTCCTTTTAGATGCTCTTCGCATTGCATTTAACTTTCTTACTAGTTTGAAGTGTAACTACTGTTTTGAACAGCGCGATGCTATGAACAACTGTACGAATATTTTAGAGGAAAATTCCAGAGCTCTGTGAATATGAAAATTATAAAAATGTTTTCATAATGAAAACATTCATGTTTTGGCAATTTTAAATTTTAAAAAATGTCAGTTAAGTCAATTTACTGAAACCTGAGTAATGTAATATTTTGTGAGGTCCAGCAAATATTAAAATCCTTATGAAAAATAAAACGTAAAACGTTTGATCCTCGTAAAACAAAATTTGACTTAGATATTTTAATTTCCAAACTTCGGAATTTGAGCAATTTACCTTATGCTGTTGATTAAAAGACATATTAAAACAATTCGAGGTTGAGTTTTTTGTCGTTTAAATTACATTTAGTAATATTATTTTATGAATTTACTAGCATGCAATTCTCTTTAATTTGTAGTTTTCTTAAAATTTGTATGCCAAAAGAATTTGCACACACATAATTTATAAATTTTCAAATTTCAGAAATATGTTCTGAATATTTTCGTGAATTTTTACAGTAAAGAAATACTACTGAAAATTTGTATTCATGAAAAGCACTTACCTGAAAGTACACCTTTAGCAATGATAGGTAATCTTGTAATGCTCGTTAACCAAGTGATATCTTTGAAAGTTAGAGAAGCATCTAATGGTGGCATTTGACGTCTGTTAGGTAAATTTGCGAATCTGAAATGAAATAACATTCATCATCAGTAGCTGAATGTGACATAAACATGTCTCTAACGCATACAATATATTTATCGAATATATAGATAGGAAAAAATGGATAGATCACAAAACGTTAACCTACTAAAATAATGAGTTTAAGATTGCTAAAAAAAATCTGAAGGATTTCAGATTTTACATTACGCCCAAAGGGGCGTTTTTTTTATTTGCATACGCATACGCCTTTCGAGAGTACTTAAACTAATGTTCTTTTGGGCTAAAAATACTCAAAAACAGTATAGCCTTATAATTTCTGATAGATTGTCTCGTGCCCTGGAGATAAAAATGTTTTATTCCGCACAGTGTTGCCATTGCTTGCTTTGAAATAGTTGAGCTTGTTAATCAAAGATTCTTTAAAGTTTTACAAAATTTTAAATGGACAATAAAGCAAATTCGGCATCTCGAAGCCAGAATTCGGGTGACATTATTAAACATTTGATGGCTCCATGTACCGTTGTTTTTCGTTGTGATAGAAACATACATTCATCTTTCCTTATTTAATTTCTTTAAATAAAATACAGAGCCACAACGTTTGGTGGTAACAATTTGAAACCTGAAATGGGCATTTATAGACAGTCAGATATTGCATTATTATTGTGATGTGCACAGGTACAATTACAAGAGACATCACACTACGATTTCACCGTTAGTGGTACAGGTATAGTATCGCCCGCCTACGTTTTAATGGAGAATACCTCTGGGGGCTGTCAAGGGTCTCGCAACCCTCTTTTCCTACCTTCGAATTACTCGAAAGTCTTTCGGCTCTGACAATTTTAAGTGCCCCAATGTCGTACAGATGTTATACACTTGTCATGCCTTCGACAGGATTAAACCCGGGCTAACTGTAAGGCAACCAGCATGAATAATATCTCTACCCATCAGGTTGGCTTGGGATGTACACATGTGATGAGATGAAACAAAAAAAAAAAAAAAAAAAAAAAAAATTGACGATACTCGGAAGCGTTGTTAGTACACAAATCCAAGCAGTGACGACATTTCTCTTGGCACGTTTATCTACACATATTATAAGGTATTTCTTTCGCCTTCTTAGCATGCCTGCAATGATCAGCACGCTCGGCGCGTATTCGAGAGATTCGTGGTTCGAGTCCCAGAGAGTGCATTGCTCATTTTTCATGACTCCTGCTTCCAAATAACCTAATATCTCTACAATATTACGGCAGTGCCTTTTAACAACCAGATTCAATAATTGCAATAAAGTATACGAATGTCACTTGACATTCACTTGAATTGAATGTCACTTGAATTGTAAATAAAGCATACGAATGTCACTTGACTCTCCCACGAAATCTTTTAAACGTACTATAAATGTAATGTTTAATATATTTCAAAATTCCAGCGGCACATTGTTTCGTAAAGAGATTAGATGAAACGTTTACCCCTCAATAAGTATTCGTTTGAATGCTATATAAGATTAAATATATATGATATTCGTATCTAAATGGACTAAGGTTGTAGAGGCATTAGGCTATTTCGAAGAAGGAGAGATAAAAAATGAGCAATGCCCTCGCAGGGACTCGAACCGCAGACCTCTCGAATACGCGCCGAGTGTGCTGACCACTATATCACGAAGACATGCTAAGGAGGCGGGAGAAATACCTTATGTATATTCCCGCTTTTTTAAAGGGCGACTGGGGATTAGGGAACTCAATCGCCAAATCCTGGTGGTGGAGAATCCATCATCCAGCACCTTTTCAGTTCGGACGCCAAAAATATCAAACGTTTAGTAAAAGAATTAAGCAGAATGTCTTAAAGTATTCTTTGACGTTTCTTCAAAAGCATGATCTAAGCGTCGCTGTAGCGCTTTATAATTCAATGAGATTTAGTGTTAATTACAATCGAATTTTGCAAGTCCAAATTATAGTTCAGTTTAAAACAGATAAGACATTCTTATCTGTAACATTATCTTTGTACCTTTTTATTATTTAATTCTTTATAAGCTTCCTAAACATTTAACGTAAATAACACATATATAATGACGGCTTTGATTAAGTTTTATTAAAGAGGTTTATTGATACTTAGAATATCGAAACATATTCTTCACACTGGATTCAAATGTTTCTAATGCGCAATTTCAGGTATTTTTAATAATATAAAAATGTAAAAATTAGACAACTCTCTAAGAGAATTATTTAATGAGAAACTTAGGTATATTTTTATATTATATATTAATAAAATTATTAATTCATTTTTATTAAAAATTTAGATTCTTTCATGTTATTGTAAGCTCCACCAGGAAAAAATTCTCTTACATTTACAGAAATAAAGTAATAAAATTCTGAAGTTATTTGCTCTTTGATATTATTGAGTTTAAACTTAATATCTTTCATTATAAATTTTGATTAAGACACAATTACTAACTGTTCATTGTTCTCTATGTATGTCGTTTGGAAAATAGCCAGACTGAATGTCTAGACAAAGAGACATCTTATATTGTAATGCTGTTTCAGATATTAGAGCCATAGTATGTTTTTCTTTCTTTTTGTCATCTTGGCAGGAAATCGTTAGGTATTTATTGTCTTCAAGTTAAATTAAAAACAAAAATCCGAAAAAGGAACATGAATTCCATTTAAGTCTAACACATTCCTCTCATGTTAGATGATATTTTTAGTCCTTTAAAATAGGGGAAAATAATATGATTATTTGAATAATTTAGATTAATGGATTTATATATTACGAAAAATAGCATGCGTTCAGGAAAGTATCCTGAATTTTCATGAACAGAATACTGCCTAACAGCAAATTTTACAAAAATTATGTTAATGATTGGACGCTAGAGTTACATGCCTTTGAAAGCTGACTACAATATCTGCTTATTAATATATTGTAAGAATTTAAATTTCACCAGATTTAAATTCTGAAACAGGAATTCATTTCAGCTAAGGTTGAACAGTTTATGGACTAGTTCAAATTAATTTTTATTACATTGATATTTCTTTCATTCAATGACACTTTCATTAAAGCTCTCTTTCATCTACCTATTGACCAACTCAGTGTCATTTCCAATATCGTAATGGAGGGAATCAAGAACCCATGAACATTCCTCATAATTACCATTTTGAAAATAATTTTTAAACTGTGATCTCAGATTTCGAAATGGGAACATATGTCATTGCACATTTATTTTTCCAATGACAATGAAATCTTTTACTAAAAAGAATTCTAATCTGTAAATGCAGGAAAAAATTTGTTGGTTTTACGCAGCTAACCCACAAGTAAGATTTACTCCCAAACCCCTTTATTTTCTCACGGATATTTAGAACAGTCAAAGAATTACTTTGTAGATAAATATTCAGTTCCTTTGGCTTGGGAAAAAAAGGCATGAAAATGAGCTTGTAAAGTCACTAAGAGTTTTTTGAAGCAGGATTTATGAAAAATGAACATTGCCCTCGTCAGGTCTCTACCCACGGACCGCTCGAATACGCATTGAGTATGCTGACCGTTACACCACGAAGGCATGTTAAGAAGGCGAGAGAAATGCCTTATATGCTCTCCCTTTTAAAGTGAGACTGGGGATTAGGGAACCCAGTCGCCAGTCCTGGTGGGAGAAAATCATCATGCGCCACGTTTTTTAATTCGGGCGCCACTATAGAGTCATTAGGATTTTTTTGAAGCAGGAGTCATGACAAATGAGCAATGCTCTCAGCGGTACTCGAACCACAGACGTCTCTAATACGCGCCGAGCGTGTTGACCATTACACCGCCAAGCCATGTTAAGAAGGCGGAAGAAATACCTTATAAGCTTAGCCAATTGTCATCAGCAAGAAACGATATAAATACTCTTTAATTTTGTTTACATATAATATGAATTCTTGCCTTAATTCAAAGAGGCTTGTGAGTAGCACACACAGTAAAATCTAGCGAAGTTCACAATGAAGATGAAACTATTTCTGCTAGCTATTCAAATCATAATAAAGTAATTAAAATATTCTGCAGCTCAGATAATTTGGCCACCCGCTACAAGTTTTTAATCAAAAGCTCCTCACCACCAAGCCTTTAATTTTATGTGCAAACATCAATCTTCTTTAGAACTTACCTTACCGCTGTGTTAGCAGAGTACCAACTGTGTCAACACAAAGTGCCTTCGAATGCCTACATCATCTTCCAACCTACTGCAATGCATGGTACACCGCACGTATACATCATGCACCAACTTCGACTATGCTTAAGCACTAGTGCACACGTCAGTGACCATCAGTACCTTAGATAATTCTCTTAAACTATTCACTGTCATAGTAACTGTGCAATCATTGTGATTGTGTACTCAAACTACTGTGCCTAATATAGTGTCTGCGCTGTAGCGACTGTACCAACTTATAGCAATTGCGTTAAAACATAGTGACTGTACCAAACTCCAAATTTAGTACTATTAGTACCAGGGGACAGGGACAGGGAAAAGTGGATGGAGCACCAGAATTTCGTCAGTGACTTTTACAGGTGTTGCTCCGCCGCACTACTGTATCCCGCTGGACTTTTAGTTGGGCCGCATCGGATGCTAGCCTACCAAGACATTTACATAGTAATTTTACATTAATACTAGACTTACGTATTGAATATACAATTACAAAGACACAGTATACAATTATTACAAATAAATTAACCTATTAACAAAAGTTGGATTATGGCAAATTAATATAACATAATTACTTCGAACATACATACAAACTTTCATTGTACATTGTACTTCATACAAACAATACATTTACATTAGCATATCTAGTTACATCGAATTACAATAAACATCTTTTTAAGGAACTAATTGGGAAGGTTTTTTTTTTGGTGCATCTTATTATACTTAGTTGAATTACTAAGGCGAGTTATCTTATTAATACATTTCCTTTCATTTTTAACTTGTTACACACAACTGCATCAGCACTGAAGTCTTACATTATTATTTTTGTAAATTAATGTATCATAAATACAGAAAATATACATTAGAAAAT